ACATCGCCTTGAAGGACTTGGATAGAGGCTGTGTTTTGGCATAGAAAATTGAAATGAAATATCGATTTAGAAGAAATAGGTAACTTCCATGCATCATCACTTATTTCTCTTTTGTCTGCAGCCAAAACCCCAAGGCCAACTCTTGTTTTAGCTGATTTTCACTCAACTACCTAAAACAAAGTTCAGAATTTCCAGCCCCATATATCACTTTAAGTGTCAAAATAGCCAAGCCCCAGAGTAACAGTGAAAATATTAATCAGATAGTGGACAGATGAGAAAGTCAAACGAAAAATCTGTCACTTTACCCTGCCCTTTTGTTACCCAGACTTAAATAGCTTTTTATGTGTATGCCTGTCTTAAGAGCAAGTACTGTCCTCCTTACAAGCCAGTGCACAGAACGCAATCTTTGTGAGAGTAGTCCATGGACTTAAGGCTTCTCTGGGAACCCGAGGGATCATGCTGTTCATCCCTAGGATCTCTGAACATGTTTATCCATCATTTTTTGTTAATCCAATTACACTGGTGGCAACAGAATCTATCTTGAAAGGTTTGATGTGGCGTAACTACTAAACCCAATGTCTCCTTTCTTTTTTTGCAAAAAGTGGTGACAAATTTTAAAGTTTGCAAAACCAAATTACAGTATTCAGGGGAAATATACAGCTTTAGAGGAGAAAACCCAAAAGGTCTATTCATAGTTAGACATCCACCTTTTATCTTCTCTTGCAGAATCAGGGAGGAAGGGGAAAACCCTTCTCCCTCACCGGCACATTTCTGGCAAGCTGACACCTGGTTGATTCAAGCGTTAATACTTCAAAACTTTAAAAGTCTTTAATACTATTATAAAGCATCACATTTGAATCAGCAGAACAGAAAAAAATGGGCCCAAACCAAGAGTTCAGAACTATTGTACATGGATCACTTTCATATATCCCTAAAGTTTAAAAAGAAGACTAGAATGACAAACACAGGTTTGTGACAAAAAGAGAAATGGACCAGTTCGATGCTTTTACTAACAGAGGTCTAAATGTTTATGACTAAACATTCATGAATATTCATGGCAAGTGTTCAAGAAAAGGAAAGCCCTAGAAGATTAAAGAACTTGAAATCTTTACACACAATAACATCAAATGAATCACCTGGGTAATATGCACCTGCTCAAAATGCAGTTAAGAAAAATGTGAACAAAGCTGAAATCCTTTTCTATATAATGACGGTAAAATAATGCTGCCTCTAAAGATTCACAAATAAATTAGTTTACTTATATTGGCAAAAGCCAAGTGACATGATTTTTCTCCTATAATGTGTTTCAAAAGCAACTCCATAAACAATAAATAATGTAACATAAAATCATTAAAATGATGTTTTTCACTTTTAATCTGAATTACATTTAATTAATTACATTAATTCAGATTAATGCTAATAGTTCCATAAAGATTATAGTTTGAGTGCTTAGCATTCAGACTACTCTTGTCAACACTTTAAAAAGAAGATACAGATAATTTATTGGAGCATTTTTCTAACAGAAGTTTAAAAATTTGGTTGACTAGAGATAATCCTTAAATGGCCCTTGTGACCTGCTTACAATAATTACTATATATTTTATTAGTTAAACAGGATCACAAAACAGATGCTAGCTCATTCCTTTTCAAATCCTTTAGTTACTTGAACTCTAAATGCACTTCATTCTCTTTATGGGTAAACTACACATTTCTTAAGAGAAAGGAAATTCTACTTGTAGAAAAGACAGTATAATGGGTTTTGTTATTATTCCAAATTGCTTCCAAAAGGCAAAAAGTTAATGCACTTTAGAGATCCTATCTTAAAGGCATATAAATTAGAAACTTATTATGATAATAACATTTTTTCTCACCTGAAGCCTTTTAATTTCTGGTTCTGTTTTGATCTTCTTATATCATTATTTCGATGCCCCCAAACTACATTCATGGGCTCTTTAAAACTGTCCAAGAAATGTAGCAGAGAGGGAAAAATTGGCTTACTTTGAGAATGAATGACTTAAAATACGCCTATAAAACAAGGGTACCTCAGCTTCCAACATACAAAGAGGAGGTGGGAAAGAGGTAAGCAAGCTGGTGTGAACATTTCTATTTTCTCGGTTAATGTTTCAACGTGAGACAGTGTCATCTTAGTCCAAACACAGTGGTTTCCTTTTCTCGGGGTGCAGGGTTCACTTGAAGAACAAGCCAGGGACTGCAAGGTCTGTCTGAGTGACATAAAACTGGGTCACCGGGGGCGGCCCTGGAGTGGCCTCCTCCACGGGAGGGGGAGGTGACCGCGACCCGAGGAGTGGCCGGGACGCGGGCTGCGGCTTCACGGGCCAGTTGCGTCCTGCAGCAGCTCTGGGCTTCCGGGCATCCTCTGCCCTCTTTCTATAAGAGGAATCACTACACCTTCCTTGGCTTGTCCCAGGTCATTACCCTAATTATGTGGTGTCACACCACAGTGGAGCTTGGTCAGTGCTGAATGTGGGAGAGGCAGCCAAGCAAAGCGCCTGAGTGAGGCTCCTGCCCAGATTCCTGTCCAAGCACTTCCCAAATGAGCAGCTGACCTGGGGCCGGCTCTGCATCCCTCTACGCTGTAGTTCCCTCGGTTGATAAATGAGGATACGAATAGTTATGTCTCAAGGTGGGGCAGGAATATGATGAGACAAAGAGACGACCCTGTTAGTCAAGACACTGACCTACAGGACGTGCCCTATAAGCTCTAACTCATATTAAAAATGTTCAGTATATTACAGCTTTCTGGATGTGTTTTACAAAGTATGCTTGAAAATTAAATACTGGTCCCCTACGTCCCCTTTGGGTAGGGTGACCAACCGCCCCATCCTGCCCAGAGTTTTCCTGGTTTTAGCACTGAGTATCTTGCATCTTGTGAAACCTCATAAATCCTGGACAAACTGGGAACATCTTACAAATTTGTCTGCAATTCATCAAAAACCACCTCTCACTAGGGGTCCTGTAAGCCTGTGCTGTTACCTCCTGTAGTTAAGCCAGTCTGGACCACTCAGGGAAAACTCAGGATAACCTAATTGTAAATTCTAAATACAGTCGACCTCAGAAAGGTCAGCTCACAGCAGCAGGTTTCTACGCAAAACAAAACGTTTTCTTTCCTATGGGGCAGGTGAACCTACAATCTGACTCAACAGAAATTTCTTGGATTTGCTTATATCTTTTCCCATGCTTTTCACGGCTAAGCTGTGGCTCCCATAAATCCCAGGAAAGAAATGCAGCACCCTGGACTGCCCTCTGCCTTCCTGGCTACATTTGGAAATAAGTCTCTTTGATTGTTTTCAGTCACATGGTACATCCCATGAAGCTTATCTACATCCTATGTCCCAGGAAGACTTGGCAGAATGATGACACACCTCAGTTAGGACAAACACGACCTTGTTAAAATTTAACAACCTGACATGCTCTGTAGTGAGGCTGTAAAGGTGCATAATTCACACATTTGAAGTTGTACAACCCATGAATTCTGCAATGTCTCGATTAGCAAATTAAAGCTTTGGCTAGTAATAATATAGGAGGAAAAGCTCTCCAAATGAACAACTATTATACTTATTTTCGACTAAACAAATGAGGTCATTGACCCATCTCCAAAATTTTTTTGCATACTAAAATTTATCTTGCAAGTCTAAACAAATTCTTCTGAATGTAAGTACAAATGCATTGGCCATTTCTGTACTACTGAACCTAAATTTGTGTTTCTGATACCTGAGTTAAAAATGCAAGGTGGCCAGAAATCTATGAAAAATCTAGGGACCAAAGCCTAGGATCTCATAACATCTTGATCTGAATAACATTTTATTTTTATTAATATCTATTCATTGCCTAGTATTTCAGACACTTTGCCAGAATATGTATTATGTGCCAGAATATAAATAAATTTTCATAAATTAAAACTAATAGAAGTACTTGAATATTACCTCCCATTTTCAATCTATGACATTGAGAGACATAACACATACTTCACTATACTCAAAGTTAGGAATATAAACTTGGGATTTGTGCCTATTAAAATAGAATGCAATCAAGTATAGAGGAAGGAGGTCCGAAGTAGGAGATGGGCTTGTCATCTATGTCACATCACCAGGCTAGATGGGTAAATCTCTGAACCTCTTTCAATCTGAGCTTCATCTTTCGTAAAAGGATGATGGTCCTCTCAGGACTAACTTTTAGAGTTACTGGAAACAATAAATTAATTACATCATCAAGCTACAAATAGTGAGCAAAGGTACTTTTGTTAAATTATATAATCTTTTAGCATTGTTAATATTATTTCTTTAAGCTGAAATCTCATATTCAAATATCTAATTATCAAGCCAATAGTCATACCTAATAAGGTGGCACATGAGAGTGGGTTGACGTCTGCATCTACATGAGATTCAAGTACAAAGACCAAACGTCACATGTGATCCGAAGGGTCAGGGCAGGTCAGCAAGATGCCAACACAGCTGAGTAAACGGTCTCCCTCCAGTGTCCCTCAGGAAGGAAGAACTGATGGGTGTTCTAACCCCTCCTGGGGCCAAGAGGAGCAGAATTTTAGCAGCCACTTTCCAATGCATGACTGCAGGGGGCCAAATATTCCATAAGGTTACTGCTGTTTAGAAGGAAAACCTAGGGATTTTCTACTCCTTTGCATCACAGACAGTAAGCATTAAACCATGTATCTATGAGTGCAAGGGAATGCAAAAAACATAAAATAAATATGCTACTCTTTTCCAAAGAGAATTGCTTTCTAGTTGTCAGTGTCGAAAATAAATATTGAAGCAAAAACACTCTTAATTTTAATCCTCTCTTCTTTGATGCAAACTGCTCACAATACAAACAATTGACACCAAATGCCCTACAAAATCAGTGCAGGCAAAAAGCTATCTGTTAAATAATGTAGCTCATTATTTTAAAAAATGCAGTTACATAACTCACATACTATGAGAGAAAAGAAACAATATTCAACTGTTAAAAAGTTATGTTAATATTTACCTTTTGTGGATGAGTTATATTTTTCTTGTTCTTCAATGAATTAAATGCACATAATGATGGAAATAAAAGAAAGAAATCAGCAAATTTATAGTTAGACATGGAAATGTGAATCAACACAATGGCATGAATAATAAAAATATGTAACATATAATGTGATATGACAAACTTTAATGACAAACTATGAAGAAGTCTCAAACATGGCACTAAAACCAATCAAAGAAAGAATGAATGCAACAATTTAAAGATTTTAAATAAAAGCATAAACATTGGGAAATTAATATATTTAGAATTTGAAAAAGTATATTTTCTTGCCTTTGAAGAATTGAACAATATTTCAGCACCCGCTTTACTAAGATATTTCAATCTTAATATATCATAACATTTAATTATAAATGTACTTAAAAGCATATTTAATATTCAAAACTAACAATTTAATTTCAAAAATGATAGCCTTTCAGATCATTTAAAATTTTATATAATAAATGAAAACATAAATTCCATTTTTTGGTAGGTAGTAGGCATTTTCTTTTCACTGTGGAAAGTATTCTAGAACATTTTCCACCTGGGAAAAAAATATTCTACTTCAAGTAATCCTTTTCTCCTTCTCAAATTAATTATATTAAACTATCTCAAAGTGAAATGTTCTCTGGAGATTATATTTCTCACACATTTCTTACGAATTTATCCACCTCCTTGTTGGTACATCATTTACTGAGAAACAATGGCCTATCTAGGTAGGTATTTTGAAGGGGCGCGCCATTAATGTTAGGTAGCAGAATACCAGAACGACAACAACAAAATAATTGGCACATTGTGTCAGTTTATGAATGATCTTTAAATAGGCTTTCTTAAAAAAATACCTATGCTGCACACACACATACAAAATCACTTGGTTGGCTTCAGAAAACCATCCATTTTAATGCAACTGATCATCTTGCTTTCCGTCTCACACTACCTTAGGGTTACACTGGAATACAACATTGGAACATACCCAGAGGAGTTTCCTGAAAGCCTCTGCTCTCAATTATCACATACCTTTGGAGTTACCTAAATGTTAAGGCTACTTTTTCAGCTACTTTATCTCAAAATCTGTATCATAACCACACCTATGCTTCCTCCCTAGCTGTAACATAATCAGATTCCATGTAGAAAATAGGCTAGCATTCCTAATTTTTAAAAGAAATTTTAGAATACATTTTTAGAAGTTTAAATAAATGTGTTTTTTCACATGATGTTAGCCTTTAAAAAAAATATATATATATATATATTGCTTTCACTGTACAAAGAGAGAATGGTTGAACTGAATTACAATGAAGAAAATAAGCATCCAAACAATCTATGGATCCTAAACACAATAATGCAGATAATTATATCCAGAAATTATGCATGAATAAAATTATAAGTTCATCAAGAAGTTATAACACTATTCAGGAATCTACATCATTTGAAATATTCACTCTTACCAACCAATTGTCAGCTCAGTTTTTTTAATAAAATACAATTATCCTTTGTTAAAAAATTTTTTAAAAAGTAAAAATAAACATAAAATGAGACTGGAAAGAAGGAGTCAAATGCGGTAGGGCTTTCATTGGTTGTAAATAAACTGCATTTGGCATTAGTCTTCACAGAATACAGAAGTAAATTTTAACATGTAATATTAAAGGAAAAAATGACATGATTATATAGCCTTAAGAACATCAATGAACTCCATCTTCAGTAAAATAAGCTAAATTCTATTGAGCCCATGAATAAAATTAGACGTTGATTTTTAAAACACATTCTAGGAAATACAAAGATGTCATGTGACCTGTTCGGTTTGAAAGAGATCCATAATAAGATGAAGGTGGGCAGTACCATCATTTACCAACCTCCCAAAGCACATAGTAACAACATACGGCAAATCAGATCCATTTTAACTACAGAATACACAGATAAAATAGTACATGCTTGCTGTTGTATTTTTAAATGGTTGTATCTATACAACTCTTAAGATGATACGCTTTAGGAACCTCAGATAGCAAGTGACTAGAAAGGTATTTGTGATATTAACTATCAAAAAACTCCACCAAATTCATCCTCAGTCATTCCTTTCTTCCCACCTCAATTCAATCCTTACAAATTGGTGATTTCTCTGAAAGACAACTGTGAATATGAATATCATAAAGCAGTAATGTTGACTGATATTAACAACCAAACATGAGTTTTAAAAAACACAAAGTCTAGCACACATTCCATCTGGTTTTGTAGAAGCAAGTCTTATTTCTATAGATTAATAAAACTATAATCTCACTATATGAGAGTTATATTCAATACGCTCACATGCTTTTGAATCTTAAGTGTTTTAGCAACTGGAGGAAATGCAAAGAATTTTAGGAACACATGATTTTTGGATATCAATCTTTAGCACACTATGGCCAGTAGTGAGTTTGCAGCTGAACACTAGTACCCGTAGTTCTTTTGGTTGTGCAACAGGAGTCCGTGACTGAGTAGTTTAAACAAACACATTTTTTAAGATAAATTTTAAGACAATTTCATTTAGACTATTGCTAATTGTAGCCTTAATAATATTACATTAATTATGAGTTATCTTCTCAAAATGTTCCCAAATAAGAGAAAGTTTGTTAAAGACATGAATTGAGAATTCCCATGAATTAATTGTTATTTTAGAAAAGAAAGTCAGAGTTTCACATAGCCTTTTATTTTTCTGATTAGCTAAATGAATAGCTTTATAATGACCCTGAATATTAAAGCATGGCATATCAACAGGACGCATGATTTTTAAAAAAGAATACAAATTCAGAATTTATTGTACCAACATTTTTCTGTCAATAAGATGACACTTCTTAAAATCTACACTAATTTTCTTATAACCAAGTACTCTGTGTACAAAGTCTGTCAGGTCAGTCTTTGCAAAAACATATTTATCTTCTTTGACCACTAATATTTCAACGATACATTCAGGAAAGTGCTTTGAGGGGGTAGAACACATATTCAGCAATATAGAAGGAAATATACAAGTTTTCCATCAGCAACAACCAACACTGTTGAAAAAAATATTCAAAATGTTAACCTTTCAGTTAACATCTTCAGATGAAGATTTTTAATACACATTTTAAATATAAGTCGACTGTATTCACATTACAACCCCAAATTAAACATTATTTCACTAAACTGTTTAAAAAATTTATGATAACATTTACTGATAACATATCATTTCACTTACTGAGAAATGGAAAGGCACTTTGAGTCACATGAAAAAATCTGACTCTTTCAACTGTGTTTAACTCTCGGCCAGGTAGCTTAGTGAATTTAACTTCCAGGAAAATATATCCCCCACTCCCACCCGCTCTCTATCTAGAAGATAAAAACAATGGGTATATGCTTAAAATAAGGGAAATTTAAGTGATGTTAACTGTTTAAAGACACCAAAATGTGTTTTCTAAGTCAGTTTTTAATCATCAAGACATAGGAAAAATATGAGATATTGCAAGTAAGTTCAAATAAAAAAACACTAGCCAAGCCTTCAATATGTTTGTTTCATTTAAAAATATTTTTAAAATAAGGTTAAATAAGTCTTCTTTTAACACCAAAAATACCGTGTTGTACTGAGGTCTTTAAAGTTTTATTTTTTGCCTTGGTACCCTTGGAAGAAGTATCTCTTAAGGGCTGGTTTTTTTTCTTTTAACTGACCATCTAAAATTCACTCACTCACTCACTTAGCAGAAACAGCACAGAGGCACCAATTGTTATACCCAGGTGCTGGGTAACTTGAGTTCTTAGGATTCATCAGACTACATGCAACCAGAATATGACTCTGTTAGCAGAAGGCATATATAAAGAGGGGTTTCTCGAAGCCAGGCTTGGGGCCGGCTCCCTCTGTGGATACCTTGTTCTATGCTGCCGCTTCGCACGGGCACCTGCGGGAGCTGCCTGCCCCGGCGGCTGCTGAAGGCGGCGTCCGCGGGCGGGGACCGGGTGGGGCTCGCCTGCCGGTGCGTCCTGCGGGGAGACAGACAGGGCCAAATCACACGATGAAACCCCGAGGGCCTGACAAAAACCCCTGACTTCTTCCTGCTGCTATTAAAAGAGACGTACAGCCCCTACGTGGGCCTTTGGAAGTAAAATCAAATTCTCTTACATGATGTGCATAAAATGACTATGACCAAAAAAGGGGTCAAAAGAGGAAGGGTTCCGCCACAGACAGTGCTGCAGGAAGAATTCCTGAACAGGGCAGAACTGAACACTCCTCTTTTCATAAACTGTGCATGAAGCTGTGACTCGCTGTTCAGGTGTCCATTTTCGGTAGTACTGCAGGGAATGTATCTACTCACAGCCTCTGAATCTTAACAACGTGCGTCAATTATTTAAGATAGGCTGCTAGACGGCTACAATTAAATCCATCTAAGTGACGAGAGTAGTTACAGTTTTAGACTTTTACAAGCTACCATTCACTTGCAATTTATTTTTAAATAGGAAATGTCTGAAAAGATATGTATTAAAAAGAACCTTGGGCACATGGTATGAAATATACTGGGGAACAGATCAAACTTACAGATACAAATTTAAGAAGCGTGTGGATACATTACTACTGTACTGGAGTAAGCTGACCTCTATCTACTATTATTCAAACTTTTTTTTTAATATATACTTAAGAACTTTAAAGCACTCTCAGAATTTTGTGAACAAAGATGAAAGACTGTTTTCTTTTTCTTTTCTGATTCTTCTTATACATTTTAAAGCAAATATACATTTAATTCCAGGCAATTTCTTATAAAGAACTTCACATAATTTAAAAAAAAAAAAGTATATATATGAATATGCCACAAACAGATGGAAGGACGGAACACAGGCAAGTTTAGTTTTCAGTGATGGCTGGTTGGCAGGAAGTGTAGAAGAGAGGATCACCAGCACAGTGAAGGCAGATGCAGGCAAGGGTGGATGCGGGGGGTTTAAGTGTCACAAAGGAAGGATCAAGAGCTACGGTGCCGTAATGAGTGAGAGTGTCAAGAGCTCAGGAAGGCACAACACCACAGCGACACCTGGAGGCAGACACTGAACAGCGACCTTGTCAGGAGCGGAGAAGGTGGCGCGGAGCCTCCGGGGGCAAGGTGGTGCATAGAGCACAGTGTTCTGACACTAGGGTGCTCGCTCGAGCGGGAGCGAGCGGGATGTTTCCCCCTAAGGACTGGCTGATCAGTCGCTCTCGCGGCTGCGTATCCCCTTCTAGAAAGACATGGTGGGAGAACCCTAAAACATTAGGGTCAGAAAAGATCTTCAGTCAGCAGGTCACATCCACTTTGATACCAGCACATCTGTCCAAGGAAAACCTGGTTACTCGTACAAGACAGTGATTTGTAAAACCCAGGAGCAAACCCATCCCAATGTTACTGAACGGGACTTCACATCAAACGGACGCGTTATCCCGAACGTGCACGCCCAGTGGTCCTGAGAGAACCCATCTGGGTTCCCCCAGGATGACAAGCCTTCAAGGCCCACAGGGCCGAGACTTTGGACTCTTGCGTCTTACTGAGCTGATCTCTGGTGCCTAGAACACAGCAGCAGACACCAAGAGCTCAGTAAAAAGATCGGAGCTGCAGAGCGAGCACCGTCAGGACAATGAACCCGGGGACACTTGAAGCACTTGCCTTCAAAAATGAGCAGTGCACTCTGCACATTCATAATGTTCATAATTGGACTCTGCAATAGGAAGTTCCCACCAAACAGCAAAGGGAAGCTGTCTTCTGAGGTTAATTTAAATAGATCAACAAATTAAAATGATATACGGTGGAGAATGCTTTTTGAGCTGGCTAAATGCAAGTGGCTGATATATAGATAAAAACACATCCTCTAATACATAAAGGTATTGGAAAGGATATTTGTCCATATATTGACAGCTGTTTTAATTAGTGTGCAAAATTATTATGAAGCCAATTTATAAATTAAGGATTAAGAATTAAAAACTGATGTTTACATGTGAATATATCTATGCATACATTATATATATGCTTCTTTAAAACATACACATTTTTGCTTTATTTATCATTTTTTGTATTTTAAATAAAGTGCACATTTAAAATACCTAATCTGTATTATTTTTCATAGTCACAGAAGCCAAGAAATAACACTTCATCCTTTTGAAAACAATGCTGTTAGTAGTCAATTAAGTAATTTAAAGTGGTGAGTCAAAAATCCATATTTATCACTATAGGAAGTAGTGATACATTAATTACCAAATGCTTTATTCAACTCTTATTTGGATTGACAATTTTTCTCTTAATTAGAATGTCTTTTGCAGCTGTAATTATATAGATTCAGGGTATATCCTCTATTTTCAAACAATGAATGGGAAAAGGTCAGATTTTAGAGCATAAAAAGGTACAGCTTAGGTATCTAATGTTCATTTAACCTTTTTGAGCTCTGGATTAATGCTGCATCAGACCCTAAGGCATATCCAGAAACCTGGACGGTCATTTTGATTGCTGAATTAATGGAAGAAAGCTGGCATCATGTATCAAAACTGTTCATTCATTCTGGATTGACTTCTCACATGAACTCCATTCTACATAATTAACTTACATGGGAAGGATCAAGGTATGATCACGTCCTTTCCAATGATATAAATAATGAGTTTTTATCTAGTATTCTTTAAAAGCAATTATCATGAGAATAAATTTCAACACTCCCTTGTAGAAAATACACTCTAATGTGGTTTGAAAGTTTAAAAACATAGTTTTTACCCTAGTCCAGACAAATTTCACAGATCTTGCAATTTCACTAAAATCTTGCTTCATTTCTTAATGCAATTCATAAACTAAAAGAACTTCCTAAATGCAACCTGAAATGTGAATAAATTAGATGAGTCTATATGGCCCCAAAGTAAATGACAAAAATATAAAAAGCACAGTTCGCTGGTGGTCCAGCGGTGAAGGCTTTGCATTTCCACTGAAGGGGGCATGGTTTCAATTCCTGGTTGGGGAACTAAGAGCTCCCATGCCTTGAGACATAGTCAAATATCTATCTATCTATCTATCTAATTTGCCACTTATTTTGTATAAATATAAAAAAGCAATTTCAGGGGCAAATAAGTGCAAATTCATTTCTCGATGAATGTTACACAGATCCTCCCAAGCCAGGAGCTTTCAGGGCCTAAGAATAGTGTGCCCTGTTGGGGGTTAATTACTTAGCCCCAGGGCTGTTTTTCCTTTGAAACCAATCACAGGATTGTTTCTCAGGAACAAAACAGCTTCTGTTACCCGCCAATCTATAACTAGTAAGGAAGCACAGACTCTGAGGAGGTGTGGAAATCCTTCCGCCTGAGGATAAAGGAGGCTGGATCACAGGAGGGGGGCAAAGGGGAGTGAGGAGGCAAGGGCTGGAGAGAGGTGAGCCAGGCTTTGGAGAAAGAGATGGTAGAAGCAAGGAGCGTTTGTTTCAGAGGAGAGGAAGGAGGGTGAATCAGGAAATTCTCAGGTCCCGGAGTGAGATGGGAGGAAATCCAGACTTTTCGATGAAATGGGACATGCTGAGAATGTAAAGGTATCCGAGGGAAAGAGACCAGCAAGGAGCAGGACAGAGGATGGACAGGGAGTGAATGATGGAGGAGGGTGATGGGAGAAAAGTGTTCCTCAGCGGGCATCCACATGGTGCCGTCTGCGTACACCAGGCTCTAGCGTGTCTGTGTGTGTTCAGATGTGTGTGCGCATGCATGTGGTGTGGTGTACATATCACATACATACACGTGTGCCTTTTTTGCATTCTCACAACAGCTCTTTAAAGCATTATCATTCCTATGTTATAGAGGGGAAACCGGGGCTAATAGCGTGAACTGCAAAAAGACAAATAACTAGCTTGATAAAGGTAGGACCCACAGAGTGTATGAAGCACCAACACTGCTCTCTTTTCTGCCTTTGAGACAGGACTAGCTTCTATTATCATGAGATGAAACATGGTAATATCACATCCCTGTATGTACTGTTCATCTTGCAAAACAAAACATAAATGCATGTCCAGTAACAAATTGTTTGACAAGATTTAATAGAATCGTATTTTGAGAGTTTATAGGAACAAAATATATGGAAAATAGTATTTAATGAATATCAACTCTGCTTCATATGTCTACACATAACATACTTTTAAAATAAAAAGTATGTTATTCTAGAGGGTTCTAGAACAAAATATAAATCCAACCTAACTACAACTCCAGTTCACTGTCTCCAAATGAGTTTCTAAATATTTACTGCTGAGTTCAACCCATGCCTACTGTCTTCACCTAAGACTAGTGTTCTTGAAGAGAAGTTAACATTTCCCCACCAAAATTTTAGCTTGTTAGACATTTCTGTTGCTGCAAGGAGACTTGCAGGAAATTGCTTCTATCGCTGCTTAAAAATAGAGTCCTTTTTAAAAAATTACTTGCTAAAGGACAGACATGCATGTGGCACTTAAGGTCACCATGGTTCCTCCCATGGTGGCTGTGACTTTTGTAGGAGCACCAGTACAACAGAAAATGAATGCATGAGCAATTCTAAGTATCAACCCTGGCCAACACCCCCAGTCAGGATTCAGAAAGCAGGTTCCACAAGAGGAAAAGTCCCCAGAACACCACGTGCAGCAGTGCTAACAGTCCGCAAAGCTCAATGCACATGAGGGTGAAAAGATACACATTTACTAAGGAGCTTCCTCAGAGGTTCTGAAGCTCTGCTTCAAGGGTTAGGCATGTAAGTCAGAAATCAGTTCTGCCTTTCTTCTATCTAAAAACAGTTATTATAGCTTTCAAAACATTTTCTTGCGTGGCTATTCCTGAAAAGGTCACGTTTTTGAGGCCAACAAACGGCCTTAAAAATTATGATCGCCACACAGCAAATTCTGCCTGAGGCCAAGATGGGTCTGTGTGCTGGGGCTCCTCTGGGGAGCCATCAATTCCTGAGGCCAAGAATCAGCGTCCAGAGTATTCACACTGTGGCCTCACTCACCTGTAGCTGAACATCAACTGAGAAGGTATCTTCAAAAGAAATGAGCGCTAACGTAAACCTAGAAAATCCAGGCCAATTCTTCTATTGTAATGAGTTATTCATCAATTCCCTTGAAAGCTAAGCATGTGACCATTTACACTCTAATAAAAATCAATGAAGAGTTTTAATTATAAGAAAACAAATTCAAATACCTAACAGGCCTGAGTTTTCTACATGAAAACCTACAAGCAGAGTAAGTAAAGGAAAGAGCAATAAGAATGTGGCTCTTAAGCAAACATTTGAGACTGGGGGGAATATAATCCCTTCTCTTCTTACTGGAGGGAAGATTTGTGATTATCCACATACATGTGGTGGCTCAGACTGTAAAGAATCTGCCTGTAATGCAGGACACCCAGGTTCGATTCCTGGGTTGGGAAGATCCCCTAGAGAAAGAAATGGCAACCCACTCCAGTATTCTTGCCTGGAGAGTTACATGGACAGAGGAGCCTGGTGGGCTACAGTCTGCAGGGTTGCAAGCAGTCAGACACGACTGAGCAACTAACAACACACGTGTTCGGTGTTGCCAGGGATGATGCTCAAATACCCCTCATCTGGAGGGAAACACGTTCAGTTACCTTTAGAATCACCTAACATTCTGTAAAACCGTATCTTATTGTCAAAAAACCTTGTTCATTGATTCTGGAAAACGGCACATGGCAGACATTTAACTAGTAATTGTTAAATGAACTCAAGAGGCCTCAGTGGAGTATAAAGAATATGAAACTTTGAGGAAAGTTTTCAATCTTGTGAAAATAACTGGGAGGAGCTTAAGTAATTTACATTCTGGTAAAGAGACTGTATTATAATTAAATGTATTGAGAGTAAAGAAAATGCAAACAGTTACACAATCTGTATTTTCATTACCTTCTTCTCATCTATCATCTAGGTAGCTAGCTAGCCACCTATCTATTTCTCTATCCATCAATGTACATATGTATCTATTTCTCTGTCTGTCCACCTATGTATGAATGTGTGCTTGTATGCACATATGTATGTATGTATGTTGTTATTCAGTCCCTAAGTTTGTGACCCTACAGACTGCCGCACGCCAGGCTTCCCTGTCCCTCACTATCTTCCTGAGTTTGCTCAAACTCATGTTCATTGTGTTGGTGATGCCATTCAATCATCTCACCCTCTGTGGCCCCCTTCTCCTCCTGTCCTCAGTATTTCCTAGCATCAGGATCTTTCCCAATGAGCAAGCCAGTTATTCTCAGGTGGCCAAAGCATTGACCAACAAAGTTTTGAGCGAAAAACATGCTCACTTTTTCAGGAAATCTTGGTTTCCACTAGGCCATCATGACAAACTAGGAATTCTGTAATGGAAAACAGTCCCTTCTGAATTATCCTGACATACTCACTTGCTGCTGCTGTGCTCTATGTACATTCTGAGTTTGAAATTTCAACTTTGCCTACTGAAGGTATCTTCTAGAATTTTCTGGGAGGAGAAAAAAGTGGAACATTCACTTAAAATTGTATAAAGTGAGCTTCACCATGAGTCCTTCCAATGAATATGCAGGGTTGATTTCCTTTAGGACTGACTTGCTTGAACTCCTGGCAGTCCAAGGGACTCTCAAGAGTATTTTCTAGCACCACAATTCAAAAGCACCAGTTCTTCAGCACTCAGCCTTCTCTGTGGTTAAACTCTAACATCCATATATGAACCCTGTCAGCAAAGTGATATCTCTGCTTTTCAATACACTGTCTAGATCTGTCATAGTTTTTCTTACAAAGAGCAAGCGTCTTTTAATTTCATGGAAGCAGTCACCATCCCCAGTGATTTTGGAGCCCTAGAAAATAAAATCTGTCACTGTTTCCACTGTTTCCCCATCTATTTGCCATGAAGTGATGGGACCAGATGCCATGGTTTTAGTTTCTTGAATGTTTAGTTTTAAGCCAGCTTTTTCACTCTCCTCTTTCACTCTCATCAAGAGGCTCTTTTATTCTTCCTCATTTTCTGCTGCTAAAGCAGTATCATCAGCATATTTGTGGTTGTTGATATTTCTCCCAGAAATCTTGATTCCAGTTTGTGATTCATCCATTCCTGCATTTTACATGATGTACTCTGCATATAAGTTAAATAAGCAGGGTGATTACAGCCTTGACGTACTCCTTTCCCAATTTGGAACCAGTCTGTTGTTCCATGTTTGGTCCTAACTGTTGCTTCTTTATCTGCATACTGGTTTCTCTGGAGGCAGGTACAGTGGGTGGTCTGGTATGCCCATCTCTTTTAAGAATTTTCCACAGATTGTTGTGATCAAGAGAGTTAAAGACTTTAGTGTAGTCAATGAAACAGAAATAGGCTTTTATTTGGTGGGGGGGGGGTTCCCTTGCTTTTTCTATGATACATTGAATGTTGGCAATTTGATCTCTGGTTCCTCTGCCATTTCTAAATCCAGCTTATACATCTGGAAATTCTCAGTTCACGTACTCCTGAAGCCTAGCTTGAAGGATTTTGAGTATTACCTTGCTAGTATGTGAAATGACTGCAACTGTATGGTAGTTTGTACATTATTTGATACTGCCTTTCTTTGGATTTGGAAAGAAAACTGACCTCCTCCAGTTCTATGGCCATTGCTGAGCTTTCCAAATCTGCTGACATATTGAGTGCAGCACTTTAACAGCATCATCTTTTAGGATTTTAAATAGGTCAGCTGGAATTCCATCACATCTGCTGACTTTGTTCATGGTAATTCTTCCTCCAGCCCACTTGACTTCACACTCAAAGACATCTGGCTCTAAGTGAGTGACCACACCTTTGTGGTTATCTGGGTCATTAAGACCTTGTTTGCATAGTTTCTCTGTGTATTCCTACCACCTCTTCTTAATCTCTTCTGCTTCTGTTAGGTCCCTGCCATTTCAGTCCTTTATTGTGCCCATCTTAGCATGAAATGTTCCCTTAGTATCTGTAATATTGTTGAAGTGATCTCTAGTCTTTCCCACTCTACTGTTTTCCTTTTTTTTTTCTTTTTGCATTGTTCACTTAGAAGGCTTCCTTTTCTCTCCTTGCTATTCAACTTTGCATTCAGTTGGGTATATCTTCCCTTTCTCCTTTGCCTTTTATTTCTCTTCTTTTCTCAGATATTTGTATGGCCTCCTCAGACAACCATCATGCCTTTTTCCATTTCTTTTTCTTTGGCATGGTTTTGGTCATCACCTCCTGTACAATGTTACAAATCTCTGTCCATAGTTCTTCAGGCACTCTTTCTGATGTTATCTGTTTATTTATCTGTTCATCTATATATCTATTTCTCTGTCCATCTATTTTTTTATGTATGTACGTTATCTATCGTGGGCTTCCCTGGTGGCTGAGTTGTAAAGAATTTGCCTGCAATGCAGATGACAGTTCAATCTCTGGGTTGAGGAGATCCCCTGGAGAAGAAAATGCAACCCACTCCAGTATTCTTGCCTCAGAAATCCCAGGAACAGACAAGTCTGGCCAGCTACAGTCCACAAGATCACAAAGAATCAGACACAAGTTAGCAGCTAAACCACCACTATCACCACTATTGGTCTATTTTATCTACTTGTCCATCTATGTATGTATGTATGTATGTATCTATCTATCTATCTATTTCTATCTCTATAAGATGAGTATGTATCTATTTATTCAATGTCTCTGCAAAACTGAATTTCTACTCAGCACTTTTTTTTGGTTCCTGGGATCCTTGTTCCATTGTAAGTTAAGTTGCCTAAATAGTTCATATCTCCATAGATCATGAGCCAGAAACCAATTCAATCTCCTGTTCACCCACAATGCTTGACGTGACTAATACCTACTCATTTTTCTAACCTCACCTAAGAGGTATTATCCTCTGGAAAGCTTTCCTTTCTTTGCTGCTCGCTGTTCCATTCCTTGAACTGGACACACAGCTTGGTACATACTTGTTGACTGCATGGACCACTGAACTGCAGTTTCCCTGTCCGCCAAGTTTCCTTCTTATGACAGCCTCGCGGGTGTTTCCCATCTAGCCCTGGGTCCTTCAAGCCACTTTCCAAAGTGGTGTTCATGTGGTCTACATTTTGGGACTCAGAACAATCATGTGGAAGGAACTGCTGTGGCTCAAGGAGTAGTAAGGTGGAAGTTAAAATTCTATACCACAGCGTGTGAGAATTTATAGCACATTTACAGCAATCTTTAAGAATTTCTCCCATTTTATTTTCAACCTCTCTCCAATCTCCTGAGTCGTCCCAAGTAAGCCTGAGTTCCACGAACTCAAGAGGGTATTTCAGTCCTCAGTGTTATAGCATGCTGTTCCCTTCTCATAGAACACTGTTCCCTTCTCATAGAACTCTTCTTGACACCTACTTTTATGCACCTAGATTAGGTCACCTAACCTCACCTGCAGCCTCTTTTCCTGTGTTCTCACTATGCCTCACGTCACCTCTATGGTGGCGGTGACACCTGAAAGCATGCATCCACTTATATCTATGTCACCCTGCACATTCTCGATACTGATGGGATGAGTGGATATACGTTAATTGGATTGTTGGTGTTTCTTTTTTACAACTATGCAAAAATTCTGTCGGTATCTTAAACCTAAAAGCACTTTAAAATTTTATACAAACTGTGAACAACATACAAGAAATCACTTAATTTCTACATTAACTTAGTGAGTATCTTAAGTTGTAGTTATGAGTAGACTCAGATTATGCATTTGTAGAAAAGATTTTAAAGAAGATGGCATCATTTGGATAAATAACAGACACTCAAAATACTTGCATATTTCAGGTAACATATTCATTGGTAACATTTCAATAATCTCAGAAACAAAATATTAATGTCTTAATATGTATATAGGACTACACTGCATTTAGTCATTTTTTAGTGATCAGAATGATCACTAAGAGAAATGCATGAGATTTTTCTTAAGCCCTAAGACTTGCCTTCAAACTATCCATCTCTCATTTTTTGAATGAGGTTATCCCCATGGAGGAGATTTCTCAACAGGAAGGTCTCTCTAAGCATCACAATTGTGTTTAAACAGTGATCTTGTGAAATGAGAGAGGAGGTGCCCCAGAACATCTCAGTGGAACGGAAGATGCCGCACAGCACAACATCAAGCCTACCTTTCTGCGTCAGAGGCAGTGCCTTTCCTAGTCTGGTTTTGGATGCTAGATCTTTCAGACTTTCTGGAGTGCCTGTGGAATGAAATGTTAAAGAAACACAAAACACATGATGAATCACGCTACAGTCATCTGGTCATCTTCTACAATGACAAAAGCAATTGACATGGAAAATGGCAACTATTTTACCTAAATGGTTTTGTCAGTCCGTACTTTCTTAAAAATAAAACAAAAATGAGAACTGGTGTTGTGTAGAAGACACAATTTCCCACCAGGAGGCACAGAAGCTGACACCACACCAGTGTAGACGAGAAAGTCTACAGTCCAGATGTCAAGGAGACTCCTGCTGGCAACTGAGGCAGAAACAAACTCAATGGTGAAACGCAGTGATGAGAAAGATGATGACAGTCGTGGTTCAGGCACTGAAAGACCACACACGGGGGGAGTGCTCGCCACCCTGAAAGTCTCAAACCTGCTGCTACAAAGATGTTTTCCTTTGCTTTTTTTCTCCTCCAAAATTATGCTCTAGGGAATTGTGTTTGACATAAAGAACGGTATTTAAAAATCAACTATTCAATTTATTTTTAAAATTATCATATACTTTTGTACTCGTGTAGTATTTTAAAAAGCTAATCATCCATCACAAACCAAAGAAGTATAAAGTTAGCAATTTACTCTATATTCTAAAAGTACTTATGTATATTGAACATCTGAAACTTGAAATGCATTTCCATAGAAATAATGCTTATGCATAGAACTAACCTCCCCAAGGCAGCTTACATACATCTATTCATCCTAAAATGTGTCTGGACTACAATATACTTGAAATAAATAAAAAATACTGTGGTCAAGAAGCTCACTTATTTAAAAAAAAAAAGAGAGAAACTTTAAAGGCAATAAAGTTTATCCTGGAGAAGAGAATTCTCCAGTATTCTTGCCTGAATAATTCCCCAGACAGAGGAGCCTGGTTGGGCTACAGTCCATGGGGTTGCAAAGAGTCGGACACGACTGAAAGACTCTCACTTCAGATAACTGGCTGCCTACAATTTATTTTTATTTTCTGATATCCTTTCCTTCCAACAATGTTAAGGAGAAAACTGTTTTTGTTTTTGTTTTTTTTTGAGATGTTGTTGGCATATAACATCATACTAGTTTCAGATGTGTGACATAATGGCAACTCCAATGAGCCTGGTCTGTATCTATCACGACTCAAGTCAGAAATTTTCTTGTGATGGGAACCTTTAAGATCTAGTCTCTCATCTCTATTCTTTTGATAAATTAATGCCAGATCCTCTAAGTGTCCAGCACAGGTCCAGTTACGTCAGGCCCAGGGGTGCAGGAGCGCATAGGAGTCCTGAGCACATGCCTGTGATCAATGAGGAAGACAAAGTTTTCTCCTGGAGCAGAGGGAAGTATCGGGTGCAGAGCAGGAAGTGATCAGGAGGGGAGGCAGAGGAAAGAGGTCTGCAGACCCAGGGGCCTGAGCTCCAAACAACTATTTGGGAAATTTACACTTGGCCCCAAGCTTCCCTGGTGGCTCAGATGGTGAAGAGTCTGCCTGCAGTGCGGGAGACCCAAGTTCGATCCCTGGGTCAGGAAGATCCCCCCGAGAAGGAGATGACAACCCACTCCAGTATTCTTGCCTGGAGAATTCCACAGACAAGGAAGCCTGGTGGGCTACAGTCCATGAGGTCGCAAAGAGTCAGACATGACTGAGTGACTAACACACACATGTTTGGTCCCAAGAGTGTCCTGGGACCGAGAAAGCCAGAGTCCCTCGTCCCCTCTGAGAAGCGTAGCGCCAAGTGAAGACACAGAGTTTCAGGCCAGTTCCTGAAACTCAAAATCACTAAGTGTTTTCATTCATTCGTTCACTCACTCATTGAACAAATACTGTGTTTATATTCCAGATGCTGCTCTAGCTGCTTGGGCTATGTCTGTGAACAAAGCAGACAAAATTTCTGCCCTCAAACAATTTGTGTTTTATGGTAAAAGACAAACAATAAACAAGAACCCCTCAAGCAAGTAAACTGTATAACATGTCAGATCAATAATAAGAACAATGAGAAAAAGTCAACCAGGGAAACACAGTTCAGAGACGTGCTGGAGGGATGGGGTCTCAGATAAAAGCAGGTTGTAGTTTGAAGAAAGATGCTCTGGAAGGGTGTGTGGGTGCAAAGGGAGGGACCAGAAGCACCTGGCAGGCTTTTGTACCAACTCTACATCCCTGCAATGAAAAGGCGATGAGCATCCTTTAGACCTTCTCTGCTTTTCTCCTATCCCTAGTCATTGCTACGAATTCAATGGAGATTTTATTTCCTCTATAAAATTTCAACTCTTCCTCTTCTCATCTCTAAAATTTAACGGGCTCACATGTAAGACTGATCATGACAGTACTTGGTGATACTGATGATGACAGTGCTGATACTAACAATATCAAATATCTACTGAGAACTTGCTGTCTTTTCTCATCTAAGTTCATCAATCCCATGAAGGCATACTTCTCTTTCACCCTTTTAAGAAGAAGGAGATTGAGGTTTGCAGGGGTGAAGTCAGTTGCTCTTACATGGACCCTGCACGTCAAACCACGACGTAACTGAGAGTCTATGATCTCAGTATCTGTGAACATGTTGCATCTGTGGCTCAAATGATACTGGATCATGGCAGCTAAAAACACGGACCCTAGAGCCAAACTGAGGTCCCACCCGCTTTCTGAACAGCTGGATGATTTTAGTCAGTTTACTCAATCTCTATGTGCCTCAGGTTTCTTCTACTTGCAAAGTGGCAAAAATACTATCACCTTACAGATGCTAACTCTATAAATATGTCAGTATTACTATTTGCATTATAGTATGATGTGGAACAAGGACTTTAGTTTTAGCATTACTTAGAATAGCAAGAGATCAATGCTATAAAAGTATTATTTAAAATGATAATAATATGTATTTGTTTCCCTAAAGTAAAAACTCTTCCTTATCTATCAGAGTATCAACCTCAGAGTCAGTGCCCCATAACTAGATGATAAATATTCATGCAGAGGTTCATGTGTCTAACTTTTGTTTTTGCTTTTGTTTTTAACCCTCTATTTAAGGATGCTCCTTTTTTTCTCTTCAAATGCTTCAGACAATTACTTTATTGAAGATTCTTCTAAAGCTTTCTACAAAGGATATGTCCTTATAATTTTTCTAACTACTTAAAAGAATCCTGGAGTTAAGTTAAAACGACATACACTTGATTGTAATAATTCAGTGTAAAGCAAGAATAGAGAAGAAAACAGAAGATTCTACTGTCTTTCCTCTGAATATACTATACACAGTAAAGACAGACATTTCTTGGAATAGTTTTGCGATGTGTAAACGTGCCTGTGCTCAGTCGCTCAGTTTTGCCTGACTCTTCACAACCCCATGGACTGTAGCTTGTGAGGTTCCTCTGTCCATGGAATTTCCCAGGCAAGAATACTGGAACAGGTTGCCATTTCCTACTCCAGGGAATCTCCCCGACCCAGGGATTGAACCCACATCTCCTGCATTGGAAGGCAGATTCTTTACCACTAGCACCATCTGGGTTAAAACCATCAGTTTATATTCATGTACTGTTTTCCTGAAACTACTGGCCACAGAATCATAAAAAGGATCACAGTGAAAGGAACTACCTTCTACCTTACACTATTCTTTCCAAAGTTCCTTATGGGCAGGCACTGTATCTGGCTTATATTGAAACATCAACACCCAGCACATAGTAGCTTCTTGTTAAATATATGTGGAATAAACAGGTGGTTTAAAAAGTAGTATTTTGAGTATCCTACTGGAATTTAAGAGGCTAAAAGACTATAACAAGTTAAAAATCTAACTAGGATTATACAATTCAGCTTATATCAATCAATTTAGACATACATTACTTTCTGATCATCAGTAAAACATAAAATACCATATATAAGAAATGCATTCTGGTTACTGACTTATGAATAAGGAAGAGTTATCACTACTGGCCCAATGCATGTTCATCATGATGCAATCAGGCAGCATGGACTCAGTTTTAGAGTTTTAAGGGATGTCAGAATTCAGCTAATCCATCTACACCCTTCCTAGATAGGGAAATGAGTCCCAGGAAGGTTAAGTGACTGATATGGGCCAGACAGGACAGGACAGCGCTGTCATTGCCCACGATCCTGCCCTTCTGCCATCCAGCAACTCTGAATGACTTGATGGTCATTGAAGGGATCCCTCAACAAAATCAAATAAAACAGTGAGAGCATTTCCATCATGTCTTATCTATTTTGGGTTTTAACATGCATTTTGTTATGTTAACATTTTTAATTAACTTTTATTATTCTTAAAGAATGTTTCTTTGGTTTAGGTATGAAAGAAAATCCTCAGTTTGTTGTTTGCCTTTTAATCACAACTTATAGCTGGACGATTTTGTGCCCAGTTCTTAGGGCACAAATGAGGTTCTTTAAAAGTTATAAAGGTCTATTCAAATACGTTATAACAACAATTATCGTATCATTAAGTGGAAGCAAGAGAAATAATCATAAGAGGGGGCTGTTCCTAATTAAAGCTAATTTTCTGGAAGTCCTATTTTCAATTACCATTCTCTATTAGATAAAGTATGAAGATTCATAAAATGTACTAATGAAATGAAAAGCAATTGTTAAAAATCTGTCTTTGTGTTACTTTCCTTTCCTCATCAATAACTAAGCTCAATCAGAACAATTCCCTGAAGACATTGATAAACACCACTTTTCTAAAGATACTACAATTAAAGTGCAAAATTAACATGCTAATAAAATGAAAATATAATATGTTCTGCTTTGGGGAATAATAAGTTCTACCACATAATGTTTTAATTATAATTAACACTGATGTCACAAGAATATTTCTGTATATATTCTGGCTGACTCTCCAGATGGTCTGATGTGAAATGCAAATCTCTATCATCTTGTTTCCTCATAATTTTGGTAAGAAAATGTTAAATTTAGATTAAGAATCTACTTAACAAGTGTTCATATGCAGTGAAGATGGACACATACGATTTAGATACATTTACCCTTTTGCTTATTATTGGTATTTATGTAT